ATGGCAGTAATTCTGAGGACTGGGAGAATACAGAATATAACAAAGGAGGATCAAGAAACTGACAACAGAAGGGAGAATAGAATACAAATGCAATCGAGCAAAAACATAAAAACAGACTGCAAAGCTTCTATAGGTACATAAAAATAAAGATTTGGCTAAAGTGAATGTGATCCAATACAGGCAAAGTCAGGAAAATTTGTAACAGGGTAGAGAAATGGCAGAGGAACCAGACGATTTCTTTGTATCTGTTTTCACCGAGAAAGATACCAAAAATTTTGCAGAACTAGAGATCCAAGTTGCCAGGGATAATGAGGAGTTAAAGGTCATTAGCATTAGCAAGAAGATTGTACTGGAGAAATTAATGGGACTGAAAGTTAATAAATCCCTAGGACCTGGTGATACATATGACAGAATGTTGAAGGAGATTGCTCTCGAGATAATCAATGCATTAGTAATTATCTTCCAAAATACTATAAATTCTGGAATTATTCCAGAAGATTGGAAAGTTGGAAATGGCACCCTGCTATTGAAGAAGTCAGCGAGAGAGAAAACAGTAAACCACAGACCTATTGGAAAGGCTGGGATACATAGTCACCTGGTTTGATAATGATCTCATTGGTGATAGTGCAAATGGAAAATGGTGTCTGATGAACTTGTTGCAATTTTTGAAGATGCCAACAGCAAAATTGATAAATGGGAGCTGATTGATATAGTATACATAGATTTTCAGAAGATTTTTGATAAAACTCCTCCCACAGGAGGCTGGTGAGAAAGTACAAAGGGTTGGAGGTTTTGTATTGCATAGATTAATGATTGGCTAACAGACAGAAAATAGAACAGGAATACAGGGGTCATTCTCACATTGGCAGCCTGTGATAAATGGGATAGCACAAAAATCAGCACTCGGGTGCCAACTGTTTACAATGTAAATTGGTGTAGGGGAACAAACATAATATTTTCACATATTGTTCAAGATGATTGGGACAGGCTTAGTGAATGAGTGGAAAATCATGAGATTGTCTACGTTGGTGGGAGAAACTGATGTGTGCAGTATGTCTTAAATGGTAAGAGGTTGGAAAGTACAGATGCACAAAGGGACCTAGCTGTCCTTGTCGATAAGTCAATGAATGCTATCATGCATATGCAGCATGCTATTAGGAAATCTAATGAATTTGAATACAGCAGTAGTCAAGTCTTGCTTCAATTATAAATGAACTTAGTTAGACCGCATAATAGCTTATTGCATAATTTTAATTCTGGTCACCCTGTTACAGGAAGGATATTATTAAACTGGAAAGCACTCAGAAAAGATTGACCAGGATGTTGCAAGGAATGGAGGGTTTGGGATATAAAAATAAACTGAAAAGATTGGACCTTTTTTCACTGGAGGTTGAGGGCTGACCTTATTTAGGTTTATAAAATCATGAGGCGTAGATAAGGTGAATGACAAGGATCTTTTCCCTAGGTTAGGGGAGTTCAAAACAAGGGAACATGTTTTTGAGGTGAGAGGAGAAAGATTTAGAAAGGCCATGAGGGGCAACTTTTTTTGCACAGAGTGGTTCATATTTGGAATGAATTGCCTGCGGAAGTAGTGAATGCAGGTACAGTTACAAGACATTTGGATAAGTACATGAATAGGAAAGGTTTGGAGGGATGTGGGCCAAATGCAGACAGGTGGGACTAGTTTAATTTGGGAACATAGTCAGCATAGACTGGTTGGACTGAAGGATTTATTTCTATGCTGTATGACTCTATGACTCTCCAACTCTCTCTGTGGCAGCAGTATCTTTCCTGAGACAGAGTGCAAGAAAAGTTCACCAGACTTGTTTCAGAGATGTTGGAGCTTTCTACGAAGAGAGATTGGGCAAGTGGGGACTATATTCTCTAGAGTTTTGAAAAAATGAGAGTTGATCTGATTAAAACTTGCAAAATATTTAAAGGGATAAAGAGGACAGATGCAGGTAAGATGTTTCCCCTGGTTGGGCAATCTAGAACCATGGGATATGACAATAAAGCAGTTTCATCTCAACAATAAGGAGAGTGCCACTTAGGTCTAAGATTATCAGAATTTCCTTTTTTTACTCAGACAATGTGAACCCTTGGCATTTTGTATCACAAAGGGCTATGAAAGCTCAGACATTGCGTATATTTAATGTAGAAATTGATAGATTTCTGATTCCCAACAGAATGCAGGGTTGTGGTGAGTAAAAAGGCACTGAAGTGTTTGACCATCCATGATCGTATTGAACAGCAGGGCAGTTTCCTACCAGTTTAAGAGTAAGACAACAAATAAAAACATCAAAGGCAATCTTCATTCCTTGTCTTCAGTTTGAGGCATGTGGAATGTAACACGTTCCATGTTTCTTTGGATTGAGAGAAGTTGTGTCAATTTTTTTTCCTTAGAGCAGATTGAAACCTTGAAGCATTCTTTGTATCTTCAGTGTGTAGATTAGGTCCTTGTTGAATAGGTACATTACTCTTAACTTAAACATCAGACACTTTTATAGAACAGATGGAAGATCTGTTGCCACTTACTATTCCAAAGAATAACTACTCTCCATGTGGGCTATTCTGCATAGGTGAGATCGTGGACATACATGTCTGAGATATGTAGGTAGTGCGATCAATGCTGGAAATTTCCACGTGGTTCTCCCAATTGTCCACCAAATAATTTTGCAGAACCTCCTGATATACTGTGTAAAAAAAAACAGAAATTGCTGGAGGAACCCAGCAGGTCTGGCAACATCTGTGCAGAGAGAAACAGAGTTAAAGTTTCCAGTCAAGTGATTCTTCTTCAGAACAGTTCAGTTCTCTCTCCAGAGATGCTGCTAGACCTCCGAGTCATACAGTAATACAGCTTGGAAACAGTCCCTTCAGCCCAAACTGGTTCATGCTGACCATGGTGCCCACTCAGTTAGTTCCAATTGCCCGCATTTGGTCCATATCCCTCTAAACCCATCCCATCCACGTACCTATCCAAATTTTTTTTAAACGTTGCTATTGTACCTGCCTCAACCATTTTCTCCAGCAGCCCATTCCATATACGCACCACTCTCTGCATGGAAAAGGTTGCCCCTCAGGTCCTTCTTCAATCTATCCCCTCTCACCTTAAACATATGCCCTCTCGTTTTCAATTCCCCATCCCTGGGAAAAAGACAATATGCATTCATCCTATTTATTAACCTCATGATTTTATACACCTCAATAAGGTCACCCCTCATTCTCCTACATTCCAAGGAATAAAGTCCTACCCTGTCCAACCTCTCCTTATAACTCAGGCCTACTAGTCCTGGCAACATCCTTGTAAATTTTCTTTGCACACTTTCCAGTTTAACTATGTCTTTTCTGTAAACAGGGTGATCAAATCTGTACACAATACTCCAAATGCAGCCTCACCAACAACTTATACAACTGTAACATAACATCCCAACTCCTATACTCAATGCCTCGACCGATGAAGGCCAGCATGCCAAATGCCTTCTTCACCACCCTGTCTACCTGTGACGTTGCTTTCAATGAACTATGTACTTGTACTCCTAGGTCCCTCTGTTCCACAACACTCCTCACCAGTTAGTGTATTAGTCCTACCTTGGTTTGACTTTCCAAAATGCAATACCTCACACTTATCTGCATTGAATTGCATTTGCCAATCCTCAGCCCACTTCCCCATCTGATCAAGATCCCTCTGTAATTTTTGATAAACTCCTTCGCTATCAACGATACCTCCTAATTTTGTATCATCTGCAAATTTACCAATCATGCCTTGTACATTCACATCCAGATCATTTATGTAAATAATAAATAACAAAGGTCCCAGCACCAACCCCTGTGGCATACCACTAGTCACAGGCCTCCAATCTGAGAAGCAACCTTCAACCATCGCCCTGTGCTTCCTACCATCCAGCCAATTTTGAATCCAATTAGCTAACTTTCCCTGGATCCCATGCAAACTGCTGAGCTTTTCTCACACTATCTGTTCTTATTGTAGATTTCCAGTATCTATAGTGTTTTGCATTATTGTGCACTTAAATTTATACATCAAAACTACAGTGACAAATTGAGAGCACCCACAGATGTTTTAAATTTGTCAGGGAATGAGGGACCACATGGTATATTGATCAATGAGGGACAAGGCAAGCTGCTCACTGGAGCCAATAGTTCTGTAAGTTGATAAATGGAGTTCATGGCAGAAGCTAGGAATATTGCCCAGCACCACTGCAAGATGAAGTCATTAGTGCATAACAGACTGACCACAAAGATCACAGAGGCAACTGTGGGCTGTCAGGTATGCAATATATCCTGCCACACAATACATGGTGTTCCAACGTGCTTCACAGCTAGTGAAGTAATTTTAAAGTGTATTCGCAATTTTTTTATTATTCATTCATGGGATAAGGTTGTCGCTGGCTAGGCTGCATTTATTGCCCATCCCTAATTGCCCAGAAGGCAGTTCAGGGTCAACCACATTGCTGTGGGTCTGGAGTCACATGTGGGCCAGGCTAGATAAGGATGGCAGTTTCCTTCCCTAAAGGACATTAGTGAACCAGATGGGTTTTTCCTGACCATCGACAATGGATTCACAGTCATCATTAGATCCTTCATTCCAGATATTTATTGAACTCAAATTCCACCTTCTGCCATGGTTGGATTCGAATCTGGGTCCCCAAAACATTATCCTGTCCCTGGATTAACAGTCCAGCGATAATACCACTAGGCCATCACCTCCCCTGTAAAGTAAGGAAATGTTATTCCACAGGAAACACAAGATATTTTTGAGAGTGACCGGCATTGCTGTATCCATTGTTCCTGTTTTAAATTGCACTGTTATGATTATGCTAAATAATAATTGCTCGTAGACTACAAAGCAAGTTAATGAATACAAGCTTGTTAAGAAGTGTTATCTTTTTAAAGCCTTTTACATTTTGAATGTTTTCCAAAATGAGGTGCGAACTAACGACAAAACACAATGGAAAACCAACCTGTAATACTATGGAACCTACCACTGGCGCCCTGACCAGCCTCTTGATTGTAAATAAAAGGGAGTTTGGTTTGGATCTGTGTTGGATCTTCATATGAAGAGCCAGGAACGACACCTGTCAGATGAACTTCCATTGTTTCTTCTTTTCTGTTTCTAGCTTGACACTGAATCACAGCTGCGGAAGACAAAAGTATTCATGTTTTCACTAGATAAGTGATTCCAAATAAATTTCGACATGTCAGATTACATTTCAAATACATTTGTATTCTCAAGATCCTATCAATACACCGCACTGTTTAGACATACTTAACAACTTACATTTATGTCGCATCTTTAACATTATAAATTTTCCCAACGAGTTTTATCAACCAAAATTCAATACAAAGCCACAAATGATTTTAGGACAGGTGGCTACAAGAGCAGGTCAGACTCTTGGAATACTGCAGTGAGTAACACACCTACTGACTTCTCAAAGCCTGTCCACCATCTACAAGACACAATTCAGAAGTATGATGGAATACTCCCCATTTGCCTGGATGGGTGTAGCCCCAACAACATTCAAGAAGCTTGACACCATCGAGGACAAAGCGGCCCACTTGATTGGCACCACACCCACAAGCATTCACTCCCTGCACCACCGACACTCAGTAGCAGCTGTGTGTTCCATCTACAAGATGCACTGAAATTCACCAAAAGATCCTCAGACAGCACCTTCCAAACCCACGACCACTTCCATCTCGAAGGACAAGTGCAGCAGACACATGAGAACACCATCACCTTCAAGTTCCCTTCTACTCACCATCCTGACTTGGAAACATATCATCGTTAATTCATTGTTGCTGGGCCGAAATCCTGGAATTCCTTCCCTAATGGCATTGTGGGTCAACTTACAACTGGTGGACTGCAGCAGTTCAAGAAGGCAGCTCACCACCACCTTCTCAAGGGCAACTAGGGATGGGCAATAAATGCTGACCAGCCGGTGATACCCAAATCCCACAATTGAATTAGTGAAAAAAAGACCTACTGAGCATTTTCTGTTTTTATTTTGATTTCCACATCCACTGCATTTTGATTTTGATAAAGAAGTGGAGTCTGTCTGTATGAGCAAGTGTTTGTGGCAGAAACCCAACACAGAAGAGACTTCGGAATTGCAAGTTTTTAATTAAAGGAATTTATTGCTTATCAGTCCTGGATGTTGCACATATTGTGTAATAATTTAGACAGTGGCTGCTATATTTCAGAAAGCTGATCAGTAAAGCACACAACTGGCATGGATAGAAGATTAGATGATTATTAGAGGGTAAAGATTGGGGATAAAGGGATATTTTTCAGGATGGCAGGCATTGACTAGTGGAGTTCCACAGCGGTCAGTGTTTTTATCACAACTATTCACATGAAACATGGACAATCTGGACGAAGGAACTGAGGACATTGTAGCTCAGTTTGCAGATGACACAAAGATGGGTGGAGGGACAGGTAGTGTTGAGGAAATGGAGAAACTGCAGAAGGACAGGCTAGGAGATTTACCACCCTCTGGCTGAAGAAATTCCTCCTCATGTCAGTTCTGAAGGATCGTCCCTTCTCTCTGTGTGGGCCCTTGTATTCTGTCTCCTACCATTGGAAATATCTTCTCCATGTTCACTTTATCCAGGCCTCTCAGTACTCTGTAAGTTTCAATTAGGTTCCCCCTCATCTTTCTCAACTCAATCAAGTATAGAGTCAAAGTCCTCAACTGCTCCACATATGACAAAAGCTTCATTCCAGGATCATTCTTGTAGAGGTTGTCTGAACCCCATCTAATGTCAACACATCCTTCATGATATATGAGGCCCAAATCTGCTCACAATATTCCAAATGCAGTCTGACCAGAACCTGAGGCAGCCTGAGCAGTATCTCTCTACTCGTGTATTCTAATGCTCTTGAAATGATTGCTAACATGACATTTGCCTTATAAATGCCAACTAAACTTGCACTGTAACTGTAAGAGAATCCTGAATCAAGATTCTCAAGTCCCTTTGTGCTTCAGATTTCCAAAGCCTTTCCCCATTTACAAAATAGCCCACACCTTTTCTCTTCCCACCAAAGTACAAAGTTGTTGCATACAATGTTCCCTCTAAGCTGTTCAGATGTGCAGCTGCTTGAAGAATCTGGGTACACCAAATAGCATGTGGAACTCATTGCTGCAGAGGTCTGTGGAGGCCAAGTCATTGAGTGTATTTAAGACAGAGATAGATAGGTTCTTGATTAGTAAGGGAATCAAGTGTTACAGGGAGAAGGCAGGAGAATGGGGTTGAGAAGCGTATCAGTCATGATCAAATGGCAGAGCAGATTCTGTACCAATGGCCTAATAATGCTCCTATGTCTTACGGTCTTATGGTTTTAATTGCAATCCATATTTACACACTTTTATTTATAGTCACACATTACAAGCATACATTTCCTACCTAACTTGTGTCTTTTCATAGGGATTCAAATGAACCATCACTTAATCCCTACTACCTACACAGAACTGAATACAACTAATATAAAATTAACAGTAACGAGAATGAGAAAGGTGATGAGAGAGAACTGTGTCATCAGCATCAATGTGGGATGTCAATTTGCCTGCAAATTTGACTTGAAAGCTACATGCTGCCAGTGGCACCTTCACACAATGGACACAGAACTTAAAATCAAATTGGTGAATTTTGATGAAAATACTACAGGTTTACATTTTTCAAAGGAGCCCAACCCACTTACAGAAGTGAGTTGCGCAGTTCTTCGGTTCTGAATCATTAATCATTCTCATAAGTTGACCTCGCATCCTCCACAATCCCAGATGCATCGTTTCCTGGCCAATTTCTAATTAAATTATAATGTGACTCAGGAATTGTGACAAGGAACCCAAGGACATTTACTCCTTTTGCTGGAAACTGATTGGAATAACTCTCTACTGACAGCTGGTTTATTTAACTTTAAATACACAAAAGAACATTAAGCAAATCTTACCGTGGGAACAGCTATTTTCCTATGATTCTTGATTGTAATAAGTAAAGTGCAAATTTCTAATTTCTCAAATGTAAGCTAACTTATTTGGCTATCTTGTTCAAAATATTGGGCCAAATTTTGCAAGGAATGGCAAGATAGCCACTCTGGCCCTTCGTGTTTATGAAAGAAGGGAGCTATGCATAGTTGAGAGCAGATTCTGATCAGGCCTCCTTCAGAAACTTCTAATTCTGGCAGCCCTCAGGGAGGTTTTGTTTGGATTGGAAAATTTGGGAGGAGCGTATTGCTAAGGTGAGGCAGAAACTGGGCTTTTGGGAACACCACTCCCTCTCCATTGCAGATAAAACCTAGCCATCAAGTGTGAGGTACTCTCTCTGTTGTATCTAGTGCAGGTCTGGTCCATTCCCCGAACCTGCCCCGTTTCAGTCACCTGGGCCATCTTCTACTTCATCTCGAGGTCTAAGATGGACCGCGTCTGCAGGGACACCATGTACAAAGCACTGGATAAGGCCGGGGATGATGGTAGGGTGGGTGAATGAATGTACCAAATCCCTCTCTCATCCTGATGGCCACCTTTGTGTGTGGCTGCATCAAACTGTGCATAGACCCTCTGTAACAAACATCGAGCGTCACTCCGTACTGAGGTTCTATCTGTCCCTGGTGCTGCGAAGGATAGGATTGGCCTCAGCGCCGTGCAACGGTCCAAATAGCGGGACCATTCTGTATCACTTGTCCTTCATGGAGAAATCGGCAAAAAAAAACACGTTGGACGACAAGTCCATCAGGAAGTGGTCAGCATCCTGCGTCCTCGAGACCCTGTGGAAAAGGAGGGGGTGGATCCTGTTGCACTGTTCACTGAACGGACTGTCAAAGTCATTTGGCAAAATGCCTCATCATCAGAACTTTCCAACAAGCACCAAGACATCGTTTGGCTGATGGTGAGTAGGGCACTACCTACAAGATCCTTCACATACCCCCAGACTCTCTACACCACCGCACACCACCCTTAAAGTGGCTCTGATGGGAGGTTGGGTGGTAGAGGCTTTCACACATCTCCTTCTGGAATGTGCCTTTGCAAAGGAAGTCTGGAGAAAGATACAATGGTTTTTGTTGAGGTTCGTCCTGAGCAGCTCCATAACACAGGACTCTGTGCTCTACGGTCTGTTCCCCGGGACGTTCACAGAGACAAAAATCGACTGCTCCTGGAAGACCATCAACTCGATGAAAGATGCTCTTTAGTCTGCTGAAACTTGTTGCTCTTCCAGAACAACGAGTTGACCTCGACCAAATATTGCAGGCTGTCACATTCCAAAGTCCAGGACTACATGTGAGGGATGCCCCAAGTCTTAATGCAGCTGCCGCCAAGGTGCAGTGGGGAAAGACCACCATCTGAGGTCTTTCGACTGAGTCTAAATGTGTGTAATAGTCTAACATTTCCAAAGTAAATATTTTACTTGATTTCATTGGAACCCCCCAAAGTCTCAGAGAGCTCCAGGGCTACGGGATTGCACAGCAGAATCTTAAAATTTCCCAGGCAATTCCTTCAGATTCTACCACAATGGGAATTCCCCAGGTACACTGAAATAGCGGCTGTCTGGCCATCAGAAAATCTGGGCCTGAGTATTTGAGACTTTTGAAGTGCCCATTTCTTCCTATCATTGCTTATTTGAAAAAGATTCACTCTCTGCATCCCATAAAGGAGGTACAAAATTAGTTTTTTGAGCTAACTTTGTCCATAGAATTTCAGTCGTGGCTACAAATCAGGTGAATCCCCTGTGAGCAGAAGGCTTTCAAACGTCTACCATAGCTAAACCACTGGCTCTGAAAATGATAGGGAATGATTATATTTCTTCAAACAATGATGACGATCTCTGACTATACATATCTGCTTGGGAATGAACATTTTACAAGCTGTATCTATCAGATCAAAAACATTATCAGTTAAAAAATTCAACTCAAGCAAAACAGGTAAAACTAGAATTTGGACAGCGCAATTATTTTTGGGTATGAGTTGTGATTACATCAAACTAGGCAACAAACAAAATACAAGTACTTACTACTTGTGTCTGAATGTGGTGTTAATTGGTGTGACTCCAGCACTGCCATCTGCTCCTCAATGCTGCGGCCAAACTTTACACACAGTAGGAGGCCCCAACAGCAATGTTTGCAGAGGGCATGACTCAGCTAGCCTACTATTCTTTAAACACAGGCTGTACTTTAATGTAAACTACATAAAAATGATTACAGCAAAGTAAACGTTTGCAGAATGAATACGAGGGCCAAGAGAGGGTTTTCTCACCCAGCTGCCGGAGGGCTCAATTCTGATGATGCAAAGCTGAAGGTTAGTAATTAGTTAGTCATGTTGATGGGCAGCAGAAAATATGCCAAGCTGTCTCAAGGGGTACAATACCCGCAAGGATCATTCTTAGTAAACAGTAGCAGTAGGAACATAGGTCAGTAAACTCTGGAAATCCGAAAATGAAGAACTGCCAGTTGGACCATAACAGATCTAATGGCCTCATTTCAAAATGATACAAAACTAGATACAGTAGAGATCCAAACAAACTTATGCAAATCGAACACTGCCATATACATCAAGAGGAATAGAAGACAAGGAATTTGAAGTCATGCTTCAATGGCACAAGGCCAAGTTAGAGCATAATGTGCAAAAAATGGTGAAAAGGAAAATAAATATACAAATATTCTTGGAGAAAAACCACACACTCACAATAATATTCACCAGATTGTCCAAATGCTCGTCTGTAACTTTCCGCATAAGGTATTGATAGTGGGGTTTCTCCCCAGATCAGTTCTGGCTGGTTGCATTCCACATTTCTAGATACACTCAGACTTTTCCTTTAGGAACCCTCTACTTGCAGTGATGAATTCTTCCAGTGCATTTAAATTCACAAACTTTGATGATATGGATTTCAGAGTAAAAGAGAGAGAACAAAAGCTTGTTTCCTTTGGGCAGTTTCTCTCTAACTGTAGATGTTCAAAATCAATACTTTTTACTCGCTCAAACTGGGTAACTTGACCTCTCCCTGAAAGTATCGTCGACTCAGTGACACCATTGAAGCAATTTGCCTTCTTTGCCAATGCAACCTATGTTACCTTGAACTTTTTTCAGTCGCTGTGTCTATTTGTCCAGCCAAATATCTTAAATTTATTTTAGACCACATATCTTCATAATAAGATGAGGGAAACTGATTGGACAGTTGACAAAATCTGTTTCCAGAGAGTCTGGGATGAACAGGCATAGTCAAAATATTTTGACCTTTCAAGGGTAAAAATCAGGAAACATTTCTGCAAAGAATAGGAAAAATTTGGAATTCTCCATGGTACATAATAATTGATACATGAGCTTGAGTGCCAGTGAGTGCTGCTGAGAGATTGTTTGGGGTATTAGGCACTGACGTTTTTCTTGTGGTGAATAGAAGAATTGTTGTGAAGTTGAATTCACTGGCACTGACAAAGGAAAAAGGGTAGTCCTTTGAGCTATTCTGCTATTCAATAAGATCATATCTAATGTGCATCACAGCTCCATTTACCTGTTTTATTCCATACCCTTAATTATTTAAAAAAATAAAATTAACAATTGATGTTATATGAAGCATATATTGAAACAAAAGTCTGCTGCACAGCCATGACGTGCCATGGGGAGGCTAAATTAGTGGGCAGTGGGAATTCCACTCCTCAGCGGGAGGAAGTCCCATGCTCAGAGGCTGTCAATTAATTATTCCTGAAAGTGCAAGAGCTCAGTGGTGGGCCCTGCTTGAAGTGCAGGAAGATCTTGAAGGAATTATGATTGGGGATTTAAGGCAGGGAGGAGGTTATTTCTTGTAGTTGTCAATGAAGGAAGGTGGTTGATGGCATCCTTTTGCCAGGGGGGGAGGTAGGGAAGGGTAGCTCATTACATGTGTGGCATTCCTGAATAAGTGATGAATTGTCCTGTTCGTTCCCATCAATCCTCATGTAGACTATTAAAAATCTCACTGCTCACACCATTGATGTTTTGATGTAGACAGATTATAATTCAGGAAAATAGGCTTCTGCACAAGCCTAAATGACCAGGAATTATTGACTAACTATCAAATCAACTTGTGAGTGAGTGGAGGTCCTGGGCGAGCCACTTGGCCTATTTTATGTGCTTCCCTCCACCCTACCAGAAACACATCCATTGGGGGCATGTAAAATTCAGCTCATAATTTTGGCAGAAGATTGGTGGTAAAGACATGAAATAGTATAAGAAGCCATTACCAGATGCATTTTTAGCGAAAGACTAATCTCTGCATAGACATACATTCAGCACTCAGTATTGTAAATCATGTAGTTGACTTAAGAGAAAACACAAAGATTGAAATTTGTATAATAACCTTCTGTAATTTGTCTATATAAGATTTAAGATGATCAAAAGTTCTTGTATCTCGCTAGTCTGGCTAGCTGCATGTCAACATAAAGGTATTTCTGCATTGTTGACCAGCTAAGTTGCTCACTTTGTCCATATTTATTTTAAAGTCTGCATTTTTCACAGAAATCTACATTCCCTAGTGAAGATCACATTTCATGAAATCAAGTTAAGCTGTCATCCTCTATGCCAAGTAAATGGTTTGTAAATGAGTTGAACTGCTGCAGTGTAGTTTAATAGTTTGAGTTCCTTCCATGTAGGTTAACCAGCTTACATGTGATTTGTGACACAATGTTGGAAGCAAATATCCTTTGCATACTTACCAGGCAACAGTTTTGTGGACAATGTTTCAGGGATACCATAAATTGGATACAGCCATCGAATTCCAGAAATGCCTCCCCATTGTGATCTACAAAAACTAAACAAAAAATTACGATAGTTTTTCTTTGTAAAACTTACTGAAAAGCAAGGAACTTAAAGTTTCAATCCTTAGACTCTTCAATCTCATTGTTTAAACTGGAAGCACAACTAAGTTGAGAAGTTAGGAAGGAGGGGTAATTTTCATTTTCATATCTTGGGCAGTAATCTTTGAAGTGGATTGTTTATCTGATGAATGACCTGCTGCATATTCATCTGATTGAAATCCCAGGGGCAGACAGTGATAGGTTCATAACCATGCCTCTTTTAGTCCCCTTTGTAATCATTGTGATTTACTGACAATTCAATTTTCTGCCCACTTTCACAACGAAAGTACTGGCAAAGGTAACAAATATGCTTAGGAGACTACTGTGTTAAAGAAAGGAGAATGAGGACTGGGCTAAAGTTCACACAGAGAGGGAGAGGGAGCACGCATGTGTGTGTGCACACATCACTTCATGTCCATTTTTTCATCTGATGACCGAACTATTCATCCTAGTCAAACGAATCCAATCACCCCTTCCTTCCTCCCTCCCCAACCTCCTTACCCATTAGTCAAAGTCTTCCTAGACCCATGGATGAATTCATGATGACATGTACTTCCTTCCATGTTGATATATAATTCCTACCATCAAAAGCCTGTCATTCACAATGCCAAAAGAAAGGAACGATAAAAGAAAATAATTGGAAGAACTGTCATAACACAATGGTCAAAGAAACAAGAAAAGAAAATAAAGATTGAAACATAAGTAAAGACATAACCAGAAAGTCACAGAAAACCACAACCAGAATGATAAAAAGCCGACCAGCAACACTAAAATATCAGAAACATACATTAAAAATTGATTGAAGTCAGCTAAAATGTTGTCTAACTTGTTGCAGTGATTTACTTTGTCGCAGGTAAGATTTATGTAGAATCCCTACAGTGTGGAAAGGGACCATCCAGCCCATCAAGTCACCACTGACCCTTTGAAGAGCATCTCACTCTGACCTAACTGCCCAACCTATCCCTGCATTTCCCATGGCGAATGCACCTAGCCTGCACATCATTTGACTGTGGGAGGAAACCAGAGCACCTAACAGAAACCCATACAGACACGAGGAGAATGTGCAAATGCCACATAGACAGTCATCCAAGGTTGGACTTGAACGCAGGTCCCTGGCAGTGCTAACCGCTGTGCCACCATATTGCCCACTATTTTTGCTATTTTTACAATATTTGCTACCAATGATCATTCATAAATTGAAGTGGGATTTTGGACACAATACTTGCAAGTCCTGATGTTTTCAAACAAGACTTCCTCAGCTGATTCACAGAGTCAACATTGTGTTTGCAGTGGGCCTACTGGTAGAAGGTATTTGTACTGTTGGCCTTTCACTACACTTTTTTTTTGATCTTCAGAAATTGTTCCCACTTATTGATGTCTGTCTTGGAACTGTTTCAGAATAGCTTTTAAACAATTTTTGTATTGCTTTCAAATTGCTTCCAAGTTATCAATGCACCATAAAATACCCACCGTGTAACCTGAAACACTCAGATATTAATAAGAACAAGAACAAAGAACAAAAGAGAAGTACAGCAAAGGAATGGGCCCTTTGGCCCTCCATGTCTGTGCCAATCATCATGCCCTAACTAAACTAAAAAACAAACCTTCTGCTTTTATTCAGTCCGCATCCCTCTAATCCCTCCCTCTTCATATAACCATCCAGATGCCTCTTAAATGTCTCCAACATGCCTGCTTCCACTACCTCTTCTGGCAGTGCATTCCAGGCTCCTACCACACGTGAAAAACTTCCCTTGTACATCTCCCTTAAACGTTCCCCCTCTGACCTTGAACCTGTGCTCCCTTGTAATTGAAACTTTAACCCTGGGAAAAAACCTCTGACTATCCATCCTATCTATGCCTCTCATAATTTTGCAGACCTCTATCAGGTCTCCTCTCAGCTGCTGTCTTTCTAGTGAAAACAATCCTAGTCTTTTTAACCTTTCCTCATAACTAATGCCCTTAAGACCAAGTAACATCCTGATGGACCTTCTCGGCACTTTCTCTAAAGCTTCCACATCCTTCTTGTAGTGTGGCAACCAAAACACCACATAATACTCCAAATGCAGTCTAACAAGGGTTTTATATAGCTGCAATATGGTTTGCCAATGCTTGTACTCCATGCCATGTGCCTTCTTAATCACCTTGGCCACGTGTGTTGCCACTTTTAGAGAACTGTGGACCTGCACATCCAGATCTGTCTGTATGTTAATGTTCCTAAGGGTTCTGCCATTTACCGTATAATTCACACCTAAAGTTGATCTTCAAAAACGCATCACCTCACATTTATCTGGATCAAATTCCATCTGCCATTTCTGTGCCCAAGTCACCTATCGATATCCTGTTGTATCCTTTCACAATCGTCGGCACTATCAGCAACTCCACCAAACTTTGTGTCATCTCCAAACTTACTCATTTTCCTCCAGGTGACTTATATATACTACAATCAACAGAGACTGATCCCTGTGGAACACCACTAGTTACCAGTCTCCATTCTGAAAACACCCATCCACCGCTACCCTCTGTGTTCTATGACCAAGAGAGTTTTGTATCCATCTAGCCAGCCCACCCCGAATCGCATGTGATTTTAGGTTTTGTACCAATCTGCCACATGGGACTTTATCAAATGCCTCACTAAAGTCCATATAAACTACATCCACAGCCCTTCCCTCAATTATCTTTGTCACCTCTACAAAAGAATTCAATCGGTTGGTGAGATGTGACCTTCCTCGTACAAAACCATGCTGCCTGACACTAACCAGTCCATTTTCTTCCAAATGTGCATACGTCTTGTTCCTCAGTATCTTCTCCAAGAGCTTCCCCACCACAGATGTCAGGCTCACCGGCCTATAATTTCCTGCATTATCCCTACTTCCTTTCTTTAAAAAAAAAAGGAACAACATTCTAATCTTCAGTCCTCTGGAACCTCACCTGTGGTCAAAGAGGATGTGAAGATATCTGCTAATGCCCCAGCTATTTTGTCCCTTGCCTCTCCCAGGAACCTGGGTTAGACTGCATCTGGCCCGGTCTACCTTAATACAATTTAGGATACCCAAAGCTTCCTCCTTCAATATATTGGCATTCTCTAGAGTATTCACACACACACATCCCTGACCTCAATACGAGTCATCTCTTTCTCCTTGGTGAATACCGATACAAAGTACTCATTAAGGACCTCTCTCACTTCCTATGGCTCTGCACATAATTTCCCTCCTATATCCTTGAGGGGGGCCTACTCTTTCCCTTGCTACCTTCTTTCTTCTAATAATAGCATAAAAAGCCTTGGGATTCTCCTTGATCCCGTTTGCTAAAGACATTTCATTTCCCTTTTTAGTCTTCCTAATTCCACATTTAAGTTCCTTCCTAATTTCTCTGTAGTCCTCAAGGGCTTCATCAGTTTGTTGACCTATCCTCTTCTTCCTTTTTCTTTTTCACTAAGCTTACAATTTCCTTTGTCATCCTGAATCTTCCCATTCCTTTCCTTCAATCTTGCAGGGGCATGCATGTCCTGCACTTAAATCGACTGGTCTTTAAAAGCCTCCCACATGCCAGATGTAGATTTGCCCTTAAATAATTGCTCCAATCCACATCCCCCAGTTCCGGTCTAATTTGGACATAATTGGCCCTTAACCAATTAAGCATCGTCAACTGAGGGCCACTCTTGTCCTTGTCCATGACTACCAGAAAACTTAGAGATATGGTCACTGAACTCAAAATGCTCTCCTACTGAAACATTAATCACCTGTCCTGGCCCCTTACCTAATATCAAGTTTAGTATGGCCTCCTCTCTTGTTGGATTGTCAACATACTGTCTCAAAATGCCCTCCTGCACACTTCTAACAAATTGGGTCCAATGACCCTTCCTCAGAACTCACTGGACCCGAAATGTTAACCCTGATTCTTTTCTTCACAGATGCTGCCAGACCTGCTGAGCTTTTCCAGCAACTTCTGTTTTTGTTCCTGACTTACAGCATCCGCACTTCTTTTGGTTTTTTATGTCTGACAAATTGTTCTCCATCCAATACCCTGGCTGTAAGGGATTCCCAGTCAATAAGAGAAAAATTGAAGTCACCCACCACAACTACCCTGCTTTTTTCATATTTTCTCAGTATTTGACTACATATCTGCTCCTCTGTCTCCCATGGGCAGCTGGGGAATCAATAGAAAACTCCCAACATTGTGATTTCACCCTTCCTACTCTTGAGGTCCACCCATAAAGCCTCACTGCAAGATCCCTCTGATGTGTCCTCCCTCAACACAGCTGTGGTGTGATCCCTAATCAGCAACGCAACTCCCCCACCACTTTTGTTTCCCTTTTTATCCCATCGAAACCAGCGATATCCCGTCCCTTCTTTAACCATGTCTCCGTAATGGCAATAACATCATAATTCCATGCAGTAATCCAGAATCTTAGTTCATCTCTCTTACCTGTTACACTTTTTGCACTGAAGTAAATGCACTCCAGGTCTCCAGTCCCTCTGAGCCCCATGACTTCCCTCTGCCTGCTCTTACTCTGCTCTATGCATATCTCAGTCTCTCTTTTGTCCCTCAGTCTCTGCACTGGCTGGCCTGTTGTTCTGGCTCCCACACCCCTGCCACGCTAGTTTAAACCCTCCAGCTCTGGCAAAATCCCGCCCAGCTGCCCCTCCAGTTCAGGTGCAACCCGTCCTTCTTGCACAGGTCTCACCTTCCCCAGAAGGCATTCCAATGATCCGTATATCTAAAGCCCTCCCTCCTACACCAACTCTATAACACGTGCTCAACTATACCCTCTCTCTGTAGCCTCATTAGCCCATGGCACGGGTAGTAATCCTGAGATCACTACCCAGGTAGCCCTGCTTTTTAGCTCTCCATCTAACTCCCTGAATTGTCCTTGTAGGACCTCTTCCTTCTTCCTACTTATGTCATTTGTGCCAATGTAGATAATGACTTCTGTCTGTTTTCCCTCCCATTTCAG